TCTGCTCTTGTCTTTATGAGGATTTTTTCCCCTGCCATCACTGCGTCTTTTCCCAGCATCATCCATTTCCCCTCTCTTCTGGATCATTCCTATTTGTAAAATACCACGCTCATAGCTCCAACTTTAAAAACAAAATAACCTGTCACTGACCCCACTATTACACCAAAGCAACTGCTTCGTTTCTCTGCCCCTTCTCAGCATGACTCCTTGAAAGTGTTGTCTGTGACTCCCACCATGTCTCCTTACTCCCCCATCGGGTCCTCTCCCTGCCCTTCTCTGCTCTAGGTCTGTCCTCTCCCCTCCACTGAGCAGCTTCCGTCAACTAACCGTGACTTCTTTAGTCTTAGCAGCAGTCAACAGCCTATTGCCCTGTTCTACTTGAACCTGACCTTTTCCCTGAGGATCCATGACACCACAACCTCTAGGATTCCTCCCACCCCCCTTGACAGCCACTCATAAAAGTCTAATTCCCTGGTTCTAGTTCCTCATGTGACCTCTAAAATGTTGACAGTCCTGGGACATGGTCCTGTCCCCACTCTCTTCTCTGTCCTCATTATCCCCCCAGGTCTTCTCATGGTTTCCCACAGCCTGAATACCACACATATGGTGATGGCCCCCTAATGACACTCCAGGCTGGCCTCTCCTCTGAACTCCAGACTCATAAAACAATCGTTTGGTTGCTGCCTTCAACCTTGTGTCTCTCTGGATTTCTCCCCTAAACTGGCTGGTTCTCCAGTCTCTTTCATCTCCAAAATGGAACTTACCTAGATACTCAGGGTAAAAACCTAGGAGTGGGCACCTTTGGTTTTTCCCTTTTTCTTAGTCCTGTAATCACCATCCCACCCTGCCTCCCCATCCAATTCTTTAGCAATTCCTATCAAGTGTATCTTTAAACACTAGCCCAAATCTGCCCACATCTCTTTAGCTCTACCTCTACCCATCCTTTGCCACACCTTACTCATCTTCCACTTGGACTCATGCAATAGCTTCCTAAATGTTGCCATACTTGTCCACTACCATCATTTTTCTTTACTGAACAGCTAGAGCTAGTTTTAAAAATCTAAATCAGATTATTTAAGATCCTTCTTAAAGTTCTCCAGTCCAGTGGCTTCCCATTGCACCTCAGAAGAAACCCAGACCCCTGGCCTCATAGGGCAAGAATCTAGCTCCTTCATGACCTCCCCTCAAACCATCTCCCCATGTGCTCTGGACTCTGGCCATGAGGGCTGCTTCTGCCTCAGGCCTTCTGCACTTGCCATTCTTTTCTTACCTCCAGGTGGATTTTACATTGATTTGCATTCCTCAGCCTTCTCTGGACACTCAACCTAAAGTGGCCACCTGGTCACCTCTAGAACATCACCCCATTTATGGTCTCTGCAGAGCACCTCTTACTCTGATATTTTTTGCCTATTATTTGTGTCCTCCACTTGAATGTATGTTCTATGAGAACAGGCACCTTGCCTGTTTTCATGCACCGCTTTATCCTCAAGACCTAGTATATAACCTGATACACACTAGGTGCTGCCAGGTCTGGAATTGTATTCTACCCCACTCACAAGCTATGAGTTAGCCTTTACTATTCCGTGGGTGCTGGTAGGAGACATGAGACTCCAGGGTTGGAAACAAAGGACTTTATTACTCCCGGGACAGCAGGCAGTGAGCTCAGCATGTTTGTGTCAGGTTCCCTTGCTTCTGGTTCTCAAGTGGGAGACCTGATTTGGGTCAGATGGAAACTGCAGGTGGAGGTGAGGAACACTGAATCTGGGGAATCCATGACTTTTTTAGGAAGCAGTAAGTAAGCCTGCCTTTTGTCCCCATGGGAGACTTTATCTCACCTTTCAAGGTTCTTTACTGACAACACAACCCTGAGAAATGGCCCAGGTCAAGAGCAGTCAGGCTGTGTATCCACAACTTACCCAGCAAGGTGTGTGAGAGTCTAATGGAGGGGTGTCTTTCAAGAGGTATGTGGTAAATATTTGTTGAATGAATGAATGAAGATTTCATTTAGTGACCAGGTACCTAGTATCGGTGCCTGTGGATGAACTCACCTGAGGTCAACAGCTGCCTGGATCCCTGCCTATCACTCACAAAGGATTCCCTTTGACTCTTCTCAGGCCTTATGGAGCCTCATTCCCACCTGCACTAACCGAGGCTGAATGGTTGTGGAAACTGGTAGCATCTTCTGTTACTGTTTGAGCCACCTACCATCCTCTGTGTGCTGGATGGGGTTTCCTGTCCCCGCCCCCCCCCCCCCCCCCCGGGTGTCTGTGGCTGGGTCTGTCTCCTCAGAATCTGCTGCCCCACCACCATATTGCACTGCTGTTAAATGGTCCAAGATTGGTCCTGCCCCAAACACAACATGAGGAGTGTTAAGGATGGTGTTAATGAGGGCATTTTCTGGTACATATTGGATGTGTAGGACCAGGGGGTCTGCTGCAGTCCTGTCACTCCCCAGCCTAGAACATACTCCATGAAATGCATTAACTTGACCTTTGACATAATCCAGAGTCCAAACTTAAGAATTTGAAAGTTCAAATTGACAGTGTCCTTATCGACATAATTTGGTGATGCTGACTGACTGAAGAAATATTTGGAAACTAATTCAATTAGCAGAAAGGCCCACACGGTCAAATAGTTAGGACATGTATAATAGTTTACCCAGAACATTCTCACCCTGTAAGCAAACTACACGGGAAGCTGAGTTGTATTCAGGAAGTTGTTTGGCAGGCACAGAATGAAACCTCAGTACCAGGAGCTGACTAGCTAGTAAGGAGGTTAATGGCATCACACTTTGAAAGCCTGATGTACTCATCTTCATATTAGAAGTGCACCTGTTGGCTTGAGCCTTATCCTCTACCCGAAAGACTTCTTGGTTATGAGTCAATCTTTGTGTCTTGCATTCTCCTTTTTCAGTGTTACCAGGGTTGACAATTTTCCCATTTTGATCAATGCATTCTTTTTCTGTGTTTTACTTCCAATTATTTTCTATCCTTTTACAATATAACTAACATGTGAACACAGTTTGTTGTTAAAGGTTCAAACAACACATACATATACAGAAAAAAGCCATAGAACTTCTCTGTCCCATCTCTCTGCCACCCTCTCTGCTGTTCCAGTTTCAGAGGGACACGTGAAAGCAAACGTGCTGGCATGTGGAAGGCATTGGACGAGACCTCACAATCTATCAGTGACTGCTTCTGTGAGAGGAGTTTGTACATGATTTTTACTTTTTTCTTTACATTTTCCTGCATTAATTTTTTGTAATAGTAACTCATATATTCTATAAGAAATTTTTTCTTGGAGAAAAAAAAGCATTGCCTTGGGAGTCCTGCGGACATGGTGTGAAGCTGCATCCTTCCTCTCTCAGGGCTGTGCACATGCTACTCTCCTCCCCAAGCCTCCAGTTTCCTCATCTGTTAAGAATGTAACACCTCCTCCCTCGGTTTCAGGGTTGTTATGAACAAAGTGTGGAGGCACCTGACACATAATTATCATTCACCAAATAAATTTCCCCCTAGTGAGAGGAAAATACATGTTGCCTTGGGACCCCTTGTCAGATTGTTTCTAAATTTTAGATAGTTTCTAAATTTAAATGTGAAACATTTCTGAACCACAAAATCATGAAGATACTGCATGCACATACATGTGGGCATGTGCAAGAAGAAAAGAAAGGAAGTATAAGAATAAAACTGTTAAACAGATGCACAACTATATAAATGTACTTAATACCAATGAACTGCACACTTAAAAATGGTTAAAATGGTCATTTTATATTAAGTATATTTTAGCACAAAAATAGTTTTAAAAATCAGCTAAAAGGAGAGTGAGAAAACCTTTCTTTCCCCTTTTAAGCCCTGGACTCTCTAAAGTAAATATGCAAAGTTACATTTTGTGTTTTCTTACAGTGTGTCAGTCATAGTAAAGGCATTTATCCAAAGGGGCTATTTCTGCCTGTGTTAATTTTGATGTTCTAGTAAGTACAGGTCAAAATGCAGTATAGAAAGTATTTTTTGTTTGTATGTCTTAAAAATATGAACTCCATGATTATACACTTTCAACCATTGGTACAAGCTGGTTCTACAGTCAGGGTACCAAGCTGGAGCAAAGTGAAGTAGAGGGGGTCTAGGGGTATAGACTTGGGGGGAACGGGGAGCAGAGGGGTCTAGGGGCATGGGCTTGGGGCTAGGGGAGAGCAATTGGATAGAAGGCCCCTTTGACTTCCTTCCCTGTGGAGTTTGCTTTCAACCGCTGTTTCCCCACATCTTTTTTTTTTAAATTCTTTATTGTTTTAAGTATTACATATGTCTCCTTTTCCCCCCATTGACCTCTCTCTGGCCACCCCCATCACCCAGCACATTATGTCTCCTTTTTCCCCCATTGACCTCTCTCTGGCCATCCCCATCACCCAGCACATGCCCCCCCTGGTGTCTGTGTCCATTGGTTATGCTTATATGCATGCATTGGTTGACCTCTTACTTCCCCTCCCCCTCATCCCCTGCCTTCCCTCTGAAGTTTTATGGTCTGTTCCATGCTTCTCTGCCTCTGGATCTATTTTTGTTCATCAGTTTATGTTGTTCATTATATTACACAAATGAGTGAGATCATGTGATATTTATCTTTCTCTGACTGGCTTATTTTGCTTAGAATAATGCTCTCCATGCCCATCCATGCTGCTGCGAATGATAAGAGTTCTTTCTTTTTTATGGCAGCGTAGTGTTCCATTGTGTAGATGTACCACAGTTATTTTAGCCACTTGTCTGCTGATGGGCACTTAGGCTGTTTACAAATCTTAGCTATGGTAAATCGTGCTGCTATGAACATAGGAGTGCATACATCCTTTCTGATGGTGTTTCTAATTTCTTGAGATATATTCCTAGAAGTGGGATCACTGGGTCAAATGGAAGTTCCATTTTTAATTTTTTGAGGAAACTCCATACTGTTTTCCACAGTGGCTGCACCAGTCTGCATTCCCACCAGCAGTGCACGAGGGTTCCTTTTTCTCCACATCCCCGCCAGCACTTGTTGTTTGTTGATTTGTTGATGATAGCCATTCTGACCCGTGTGAGATGGTACCTGAAAGGTTCAGAGTGGGCTGGGGTTTTTATTAGCTTCTGCTGGCTGCAGGCTGTTTCTGCTGACTATTGCTGACACACAGAGCTTGACTGGAGGGTCCTGTCCTTGGTTCCTCCCGGCGCCAGATGTCCAGTGGTTATCTACGCTATGCCAAGCTCAAAGCTGCAAGCTTTCTGCAAGATATCTGCTAAGCACAATAAGTTTTCTCTGCTCCGTTTTATCCTCTTTAACCCTTTCATTCCCATCTTAAAGGGTATATACAAAGGAAAAGAAAGGGGATGAGGTCGTCATTTCTCTTTTGCTGCTTCCTGCATGAGAAGGGGTGACGTGGATGCCTAAGGAGTAAATTTAGATTATTTCCCGGGGTAAAGGCCAGTAGGGTCCCTTTACGTGGGTAAGGACAAACTGTCCCACTGTCTGGTTAATTAGAATTTGTAACCTTGTTTGTACAAATTTAGTAACTATCCTGAAAATGCAGGACCTGAAGAGGAGGAGTAGGAGAAATAGTGTTAGGGGGCCCAAAAGGGGTAAAGCCAGGTGAATTTGGGCAGAACTTCTTGTAGGCTGGACAATATGGACTGCTCTATGCTGTCCTGACTGATCTCCTTGAGCCATTGAGCATTCCGTAGAATGTGTTGTGTGTTTTTTTCTCTATTTGAACTGTAGAGTTAAATAAAAACAACAGGAGGTGTTAGCAACTAAACAAACCCCTCCCTCTTTGCCCTAGGGCTAGTACGGGGACCATTTTAGGGACATAAGAGATCTGCAAGATTCAGAAGCACTATGAAGGTAAATAAATAGATGTGATCTGGAGAGAAATCCTGTAAATCGCCCTGGAGCCAGAGGTCAGTAATGAGTTTGAATTTATCTTGCACTGTTCCGAAGGGATAGTCTGCGCCAGGTGGGGGAATGTTGCCTGGGTATATAACCTATTGGTTATTTGGTTGATAAACGAGAGGGGCTAATTTTTCTCTAGGAAGGCTAATAGGAGGGTAGGTTACCCTGGGAGCAAAGTTCTTGTTTTTTCCAGTTTTGCCCCTTGCTAGGCATCTGGAGCTTTCTGCCCTGGTGAGTTTCTACACCTGTACATGGCCTATTGTCCTTTATCTGGGATGATGAGGCCTGGGCACAAAAGGAGATTGTGATGGTATCTAGGGGTGGTATTCCTGAGTATAAGTAGGACTTGTAACCTGGTGGAAACAAACTGTTTTGTACATTTTAGTATTACTGGGGCAGAAGCTAGAATAATAAGAGTTATGACAAATCGTCTGGTGAAAAGCAAAGAGACATTAGATTGCAGTGGTTCTCAACCTTCTGGCCCTTTAAATACAGTTCCTCATGTTGTGACCCAACCATAAAATTATTTTCGTTGCTACTTCATAACTGTAATGTTGCTACTGTTATGAATCATAATGTAAATATCTGATATGCAGGATGGTCTTAGGCGACCCCTGTGAAAGGGTCGTTTGACCCCCAAAGGGGTCGCGACCCACAAGTTGAGAACCGCTGGTTTAGAGGGTGTAGTCTAATATACTAAAATGAGGTTTATTCTCTTAGTTTAATTTGTCCTTGGTTTAGGAAGATAAGACTTACAAGATGGCTGTGGACTGATGTCTTACTATCTCAGTTTCCCTATTCTACTTATTCTGGCTTATTGGCCTGTGTCATTTATATAACTTCCTTTTAACATTTCTCCCTATAAACCTTTTATAACTTTCACACACCTTCTGATAACTTTCATAAATATTCTTACAACTTTAACTCACTTTCTTTTTCCTTCAAAATATGTGTCCATGCCTCATGCTTTCTATTATCAAAACTATATAATTTCTTTCCAATTTAATTAGAATTCTTCACTCTTAGAAACCATAATTTTCCAATGATAACCAAAAACTAAACAGCCAGCATTTCTTACATTGACATTTAGAAACATTCTCACCTTTAAGAAATATATCTTTAACAAAGTACAAGACATTATATTAACAGTTCCAAATTTACTTTATAGATTTCTGTAACAAAAGCTAAAAGCAGGTGAACTTAAAACTTGTTGAAATATTTAGATGTTTATCATTTAACCCAGCAATGCTCTAAAGCTTTTAAGTTGCTAAAGACTTTGGAAAATTATATATAGGCATGTGAGGCTGCAGAAAAGGCAAGGGGAGGTGGGCACAGGCCCAGTAGCCTGTTCCCAGCCTCCAGCTGCTTGGATTTAAAACTGCCACATTTTTCCTTAGAGATAACATGCTAAGGTTTGGGTGATAAAGAGTTCAGCTTCTGATAGTACCCAGACTGTTAGTAAGCATTTGTAGTTTTGCAGTAAAGAAAGTTGTTCTTTGGGAAAAAAGTGTGGGGGGGGAGGAGGGAGAGTGTGAGAAGGCACTGAGGTCAGAGCAGTTTTCAGAGCATTAAAGGGGTGAGAATGCTGGCCTTGGGATCTAAAGGCTCAGTAAAGAATCCCTTCGTCATGTCATGTTATAGAGCAAATTTTCGAGAAGACTGAAGTTGGAAACTCAGAGGCGAGAGTACCCAGCAAGTCCGAGAAAGAGTACTTCTTGTTTAGAGGAGGGGACAGTTATGGAGGAGATAAGTCATTTACAGTCTAAGGCAATCATGTCAAACTCTCGGCCCACGGGCTGCATGTAGCACACAAGGAATATTTTTGCAGCCCAGCCAATATAATGGTATGTGTGAAACATTTTAATAAAAATTTCATAACTTAATTTTTACAATATCCTGTTATACATAACTAGAGGCTGGGTGCACAAAACTAGTGCACTCGGGGATGGGGGTCCCTTAGCCCAGCCTATGCCCTCTCACAGTCCAGGAGCCCTTGGGGGATGTTGGACTTCTGGCTTAGGGGAGTAGGCCTAAGCTGTCAGTCGGACATCCTTAGTGCTGCTGTGGAGGTGGGAGAGGCTCCCACCACTGCTGCTGTACTCGCCAGCCATGAGCCTGGCTTCTGGCTTAGTGGCACTCCCCCTGTGGAAGCTCACTGACCACCAGGGGCAGCTCCTGCATTGAGCATCTGCCCCCTGGTAGTCAGTGTGCATCATAGCGACTGGTCGTTTCACCATTTGGTCGATTTGCATATTAGCCAATTTATTTATTTATTTATTTAAATCTTTATTGTTCAGATTATTATAGTTGTTCCTCTTTTTCCCCCATAACTCCCCTCCACCTGGTTCCCACCCCGCCCTCTGCCCTTCCCCTCCCCCACCACTGTCCTCTTGCATAGGTGTACGGTTTTTGTCCAGTCTCTTCCTGCACCCCCACACCCCCTTCCCCCTGAGAATTGTCAGTCCACTCCATTTCTATGCCCCTGATTCTATTATATTC